CATTTGTCGGGTATCACCAGCGGAGTATCAGTACTATGACCCACCACCATAACTAAATCTCACTATTATCACAATCACCACCACCAACAATACCGAATCTCGCTAATTCTGACTCACCAGCTTCATCAATATTTATCGCTGCTACCACCACCAAGCTTGAACCACCATCATCAACACCAACACTACTTACTGTCTCTTATCCTTTTTTCCCAACTTCTCTTATTACCCAACCTTCTTTATCTCCTCCGAAATTGGACCAAGAATCTCCGACAATAACTCTCGTCTATGTCTGTCGCCGTTCATCATTACTAATTTGCCTCAGTTGCCATATATTCATTGATATGATATAACGTCGTTAAGAAATTAGTTTGCTTGATGGAAAAATATGAGATAATATATTTGTTTATTTAAAGGTGACTAATTAGAATCTTTTTTCTTATAGGATTAATAATTGATTGTGTAATTTTCTTAGTTTTTTTTTATTTTTTTTAAATCTTTTTCTTGGAAAAAATCTTATGAAAATATATGTACAATTTGTTTATAATTAGCTTTCTGAAAACAAAAATTTTGTTTGCTAGATGGCAAAAACTCTTATGAAAATATATGTACAATTTCCTTATAATTAGCTTTTTATATTTTAAAACTGTTTAAATTTATAATTTTTTATAGTTATCTAAAGGTGACTATTTACAATCCTTTTTCTTATAGGATTAATAATTGATTGTATAATTTTCTTAATTTTTTTTTGGAAAAATTATTTGACACATGTCAAAATCTCAGTTCAAAAAATTTGACACGTGTCACGATCTCGTGAGTTATTAACTTTGAAAACCATACTTTATATAATAAGATACTAAGGTCTGCTTTAATTTTGTTTTTAGTTGAATTTTCTTTTTAGTTGAATTTTCGTTATAATCTATATTTAAAATTTATTGAATAAAATAATTGGTCTATTATGTTTTGAAATTATTGTGTTGTAGTATACTCTATAACTGTGTCATGAAAATAATCAAAATTTTTTTGTAAGTTTTTAATTTTTTAATATGCATCATTTCATTTCGATAATCTTATAACTGTTAAAATATGATAATTGAGGTCACTAATCATAAATTTGAATTTACAAATATCGTTTGTATAAGTGAATTTACCGATATAGTCTTTATAATTTTATTGTCTAATTTTTTTGAACTTTTTTTTCTTCTAATTATTAAAATTTCAAATTAAAAACTAAAAAATTTAATTTAAACATCCAAAACACAAATTTATTTCTATAAAATTGTCTCAATTCGTTTCTTTCTAAAATTTTAAGAAATAAAAAGAAATCACTTTATAAATAATGTAATAGGATCTAGGCGCGGTTAGTTTTTAGCGTTTTTAAAATTGAACACTTAAACTAATTTTTAAATGAACACTTAAACTAATTTTTAAAAAGTGGTAGTGAAATTTACATGGTTTTAAATAAAATTTATTAAATTTTTAAAGTGTAAATGTTAAATTTGTTTTAAATTTTAGTGAAAATCATTATTATTTGAGTTTAAGTGTTAAATCTATATTACGTGAGTATTACATGAAAACATGCCGATCTTCGAATATCAAAGCTTACAGACCAACTAAAGATATGAAACCTAGGCGCAATTAGTTTTCGACGTTTTAAAAATTGAACATTTAAACTAATTTTTAAAAAGTAAGAGTGAAATTAATATGGTTTTACTTAAAAGTTATTAATTATTTTTCTAAAGTTTAAGTGTTAAATTTGTTTTAAATTATAGTGAAAATCATTATTATTTTTAAAAAATGAGTTTTAATTGTTAAATTTATATTACGTGAAAACATGCCGAACTTCGAACACCAAAGCTTACGGACCAACTAAGGACAGGATGCCTAGGCGCGGTTAGTTTTCGACGTTTCTAAAATTGAACACTTAAACTAATTTTAAAAAAGTAATAGTGAAATTAACATGGTTTTGTTTAAAAATTATTAATTATTTCCTTAAAGTTTAAGTGTTAAATTTATTTTAAATTTTTGT